TTTTTTTTTTTTTTTAACTTCAGGGTGGATTGCTTCATTTTGAGCTTATCATTAAAGAGCACTCAGACATTCCAGCTGGTGCCTCATGCTGAGGTTTGCCTCTCCAGTGGGCAGATCACTAGGAGGGTATGACTCATGCTTTGCTTTTTTTGCACTGGCTGCTTATTTACAAGTTTCATTGCAAGCTCTGAATGGTCAGGGATTACATCTCTTTTTGTGTTCCATCACCATGGTTAACATCTTCCTTCAAGCCCATCGGGAAGGATTTGTTTCTGTTTACCTTCAAGGCTCTAGTGCCACTATTCAGCTGGTAGTATATAAGTATATAAGACCTCCTACAACTGCAGTTTCACTGTTGGGCCTAAGATTGATTTCTCTCAGCTTGGCATTTGTTGGCATTTAGAGCTCCACTAGGTGCTTCTCATCCATTCCCTAGGGAAGTTAGAAGGGAACCAACAAAAGAGGAAGAAGAAATGACAGCTTTAAAGCTTTAGAAGTGGTAAAAGGAGAAGCATGAGAAGACTTGTATAAGGCACTTTCTCCGACACCATATTATGAAACCAGGTAATTCCCATGCAGTGTATGCTCATGAGGCAAACTGCCACTTCCACTGTTGAAACTATGGAAAAGTGTTCACTCTGCACTGAGATGAGTGGTGTTTCCACATGCTGAGTTTTATTTTGTAGACAGACTACTTGACACACTGGTTTTTTTCCCTCGAAGATCGGGATATAAGGCATGTTTGCATAAAGACAAATTATATTGACTAGGTCTTTTTATATTTTTAATTTAATATCACAAACTGATTCATATTGCCTAATTTAAATGAAACTTTCAGTGATTTATAAATCAGGTAGACACACACAATAATATTTAATTATATTTCAGTATCCTAGTGGGTCAGGCCTACAAACTTATAGAGTGGATAAATGCAGTACCCACAATACCCTCTGGCTTATTCAACCGCACTTGTTCTTTCTTCCCCTTACTCCCTCCCCATATACGTGCACCGTTCATATGAGCACACACATATGCAGGCATTTGATTCATGGCTTTTATTAGTGCATTTGCCATTGATTGATTAGTACTTAGTATTAGTACTTCTTCTATTGATTGATTGCAGATGAAGTGACTATTTGACCTTTAATTATGAGTCTTGCTATTGAAAATGACATTGAGCTATGGCTTCACATAATCCATCTGGAAAGCCCGACATGATGCCATTCCCTGGAGTTCATTCAGCAAGAAAGAAGAGGCCTGAAGGAAGTGCAGAGCTATCAGTATGGTTCATCTAAAACAATACTGCAGGGTTGTTGCCTATATTTGCACATAGTTGCAGTCTAATATAGGGGATTATTGTATTTTCAAAAGAGAGCAAATTACTGGCCATCAGTCACTGCAGGAAAAATAAACAAGCAGACTCAGCAATATTTTGTTTTTTAATTTAAACCTTCAAGTACTTGAATAACTACAACTTGTAGGTGTTTTGTTCAGAAGAAAATAAGTAGTTGCTACCGACTCCAACTATCAAAAATGCAGAATGTTAGGTGTGACTGACAATAGATTGTTTAAAAGTCCTTAATGGATTTTTTTCCAGTTAAGGGTACATTTTCCCATTTTCTTTCTATTGTCACATTTTTAAATCAGGGTTGGCTAACTCGCAGGCTGCATGCTGTGCACAAGAGGTTAATTTGCAGCCCCTATGGCATGCAGCTTAGAAGTTGGCCAGCGCTGTCTTAAATTAATGTAATTCAAGTTTCGAAGTTACATAAATGCTCTTAAGTAGTAAAAGTATTTATTTTGGTGAACTAAAGTCAAAGTCTTAAGGTGTGCCGCCGCTAGTCCCCAGGGAACCAAATGTCCACACATGTCTGGAAGCAACCAGTGTGGCTAACCTGATGAAGAGTCGGAGATGGCTTTAAGCTTCCTGAAAATCAAAATGGATACATACAGACAGTGGAAAGAAGAACATGTCACTAAGGAAGTAAAAAAGGAATAGCATGAACATATGGGAATAAAATTATGAATTAGGAAAGCCCACAAAAAGAAACAAGTTACAAGTGGCAAATGTTAAAGGCAATAAGAAAAAGGTTATACAAATATGTCAGATGAAAATCAAAGACCAGGGAAATTGTGGGATCTGGTGTTAGGGCTCAGCAGATATGGTGAGTTATTAATAGAAGCTTTAAGGAAGATAGGTGCTCAGTGTCTACTTTGCTTCAGTCTTCATCCATGCCCCCATGATAAGTGAAGAATGTGTAAAAGAACTTTTAATAATCTGAATTAATTTTGTAAGTAGAGTCTGAAAAAAGTAATCCCTGAATGCTGAAGAAACTAGCTGAAGAAATCTTGAAGCCCCAATTGATGAGAATTGCAAACTCATAAGTGATGGGCCATGGTTCAAGAGGATGACAAAAAAGCAAGCATTATTCCCATCATTTAAAAGGAGAACCCAGGGAATTAGAGATTAGTCAGACTGACTTCAGTAGCTGGGGGGTTACTAGCTAAATTCTAAAAATATTCCTCAAATATTTAGAGGATGAAGAGGTGATCCCTAGCAGCCAACCTGGATTTGTTAAGACTAAATTATACCAAATCAAATGCATTTCCTTTTGTGCATGGTAATTGTTTCCTTAGATGTGGTGAATGCAGTGGTCATAATACACCTGGATTTTAGGAAGGCATTTGACACATTTTTATAAGTTAGCAGGAAAAATGAGAGCTATATAGAATTACTGTTAGGTGGATACATAATTGGTAAAATAACTACACGCAAGAACAACTATAAATTGATTGATGTTGGACAGGCAGGAGATCTCAAGTGACGTTTCACAGGGGTCTGTTCTGGTGCTATTTAACATTTAATTAATGACATGGATGTGGGACAGCAGTGTGTACTGATTACATTTATAGACTAAAGAAAAGTGGGAGCAGTTGCAAGCACTTTTGGGGATAGGATTACAATTCCAAGTGGTTTTGATAAATTGGAAAGAAGGGCAATAGGCAGAAAAATGAAATTCAGCAAGAGCATATACAGGATGCTACTCCTAAGGGAGAAAATGAGGGAAATTGGTTTGGTACTGAAT